AATGGATCTGAATCCTAAGTGTCAACATTCAAAGAAAACAGCTCTTTCTACAGCTGTCAGGGAATGACAGTTTCTGTTAGGTAAAAATGGTCAAAATTCTGAATTTTAAAGATTTGTTTACAATACTTTATACTATAACTTGAAAAAGGCATTGCACCTTGTCAAAACACTGAAACAATATTTCTCATCATGTTAAGTATGCTTCTGGGCTTTGCAGTTCCTATTTTGCATCATTAGAAATAATACTGCCCACACTAGAAAAAAAAATTATGTCATTCCTATATTTCTAAATCTGAATTATTGCTTGGGTCAGTTCTGACTTCTTTTAGATGTATAGTCTATAAATCTGAAACTATGGATCAACATGGAGACTTAAATGGAAAATTGTACATCATCTGTCACGAAAGTAAGGATTTTGAAGTAACATTCGTGTTTAAAATTAAAGGTTAAGATGTCTGCCTATCTTGTAGATCCTTACTATAAATAAAAGATTTAAAAGCAACAATTTTCTAAATTTCTAAAAGACATGCTTGATATCTTGGGAAATTTTGAATGTCATCTATTATCAGAAACATTAAGATTGTGTTTAACATTACAGTATGAATTATAAGATTTTAATTACAGACACCCAGGTCTAACCTTGAATATGCAATAAGTTATTCAATACCTGACTATTTTATCACATGCATTTATTCAAAGGGTGTTAATATCATCCATTCAATATAACAAGAAGGAAATCCTTAATCCTCTAATTACAGTACAAAATTAAAGGGGGTCTCATCTTTGATTCAATATGTTCTCAATTACATAAAAGTAGTAGAACATTTACCAGAGTGATTGATATCAATACCATAACTTTCTTTCTTTCAGATTTACACCTCCTACTGAACAAAGTTTTTGAAAAAAAATGAAATATTGATTATACTGGTAACTCAGATTTTATAACAAATGTAATAAATTAAAAATAAGTCCATTTTCTTTATCTTTCACATCTTTTCAATATATATTTTGTTTGCCTCTGTAGTACAAAATGCATATTAGACCCTACTCACAGAGTAACTATACTGCAATCAACTTGTTCACCTGTCCTTTTGTTCTTTATTAAAGAATGATTTGGTATGTTGGTCCGGACCTTATAATGTTCAGTTGTACTGTGTATGAGATTGTCAGATCTGCTGGGAAGTCATTTCCTTTTTGACAATACTAAGAAATTTGATCAAACCCATTAAGCATGGGATTTTTCTTCATTGTCTAGTAACAAGTAGTGGTATACTTAGCATAACAGTGCAAGGAACATTTTGTTAATACATTTATACAAACAAGTTGAATTATTGATATTCTAGCAGAAAGACATTCAATTTACTGAAGAGCTGTAATAATATTGTTTTTGGGATTAATACTTTTCAGAATTTAACCTCATTGGTAGTCTCTTGGCAGCTGGTTTGTCTCGAGGGTCAACCAAATACTTAAAATTGAGAATGGAAATGGGGAACAACCCGACCAAAGAGCAGACAACAGCCGAAGGCCACCAATGGGTCTTCAATGCAGCGAGAAAATCCCGCACCCAGAGGTGGTCCTCAGCTGGCCCCTAAATAAAATTGTGTGCTAGTTCAGTGAAAATGGACGTCACACTAAACTCCAAAACATGTAAATGAACTAAAATTAAAAAACATACAAGACTAACAAAGACCAGAGGCTCGTGACTTGGGACAGGCGCAAAAATGCGGCGGGGTTAAACATGTTTTGTGAGATCTGAACCCTCCCCCTGTACCTCTAGTCAATGTAGAAAAAAGTAATACATAGCACTACGTACATAGCAATACTTGGCTACTTCTTTACTAAACATGTGATATTTAAAAGTAAGAATGGGACTTGTGGGTTTAAAATAATATTCTTGTCATGTCATCATTAAGATTGTAACTCTGTGAGCTAGAATGTTAAAAATCAGACTCAGCACATAGATAGATATAGAACAATTCAGGATATATTGATATAACATATTATTGTCCTGAATATTCCTGTAATACTTTTCCACTGAAAGCAGTAATTATTCAATCAATCGTCAAACAATTTTGTGGTAAAGTTTATAAAGATATTATTTTAAGTTTTGATATGTTACTAAAGAATATTTTTACCTACCCTAAATTCCTACCACTCAAGTACATGTTTACATATAAGTGTACAATCAATTATGGTTGTGGTTTGTGGTTAGAAATTCTTATCAATTTTGATATGCATTATACTAAATATGAAAGACTTTTTTAATTTTTAATTATTTTTTTAAAGGAATTCAAGGAATTCAAGGTTGTATCACATGTTTTTCCCTTTATTTTTGTCATACAACCACTTTTTCCTACTTTTTGCTTGATTTCCAAATTTTCCTTTAAAATTCATAAGATTAAAGAATTGTTAGCAGTCATTTGCATTGCTTAAACTTGTCATTTCTGAAGGTAACATAAAAGAAGTTTGTCAACATAAAATATCAAAACCAAAGTACTTTATGTATTGTCAATGTAAAAAAAAAAATAGTTTTCCCCTTCACAAGCCAAGACATTTTACACTGGTTTAAAATTATGTCATAACAATTTGTACAGTAAAATATCAATAGTTACTTTGACATATGAGATATGACTAGCTTGTAAACCTACACCAGCTGTTGAGGATAATGACATTTTTTTGGGTCACATTGTCTTTAACATTGCATTTATAAATATTTTTAACATTGATTTTATATGCTAAACTAACAGAGGTGCATGGGCAGTCCATTCCCACGTGGTAGATAGAAGGGTTTCTCTTTTTGTGGTGCTATCAGGTTATGGAAAAAATGTTTGAACTGGGACCATATAGGGTTGATTTTTCAAGAATTCCTTGTTTTTGACTCTACATGTTAAACTCCTCTTCAGAAGATGTATTGATAAAGAGTAACAATTGTTAGTCAGTTTTAAGCAACACTAAAAGCAAGCTTTACAAGTCTTACAAAACCTTCTCTTAATTGTTAAAGGGGCATTAGCTGTCAAATTTTATGATCACCAATTCGACTTAAATTCTCATATTTGATTCATAACATACTAAAATGTAAATCCAAATTACAAAATGTTCAAAAGAAACAATTAACAATGCAAAGACTCGGTATAATGTATCAGCATTTAGTGCATATTTTAGGCTAGATGCCATCTAATTAACCACCGGGATTAACTCCGAAGACTGCCGTAGTCATTTGACCAGATATAAACATAAATAGACTGAGAAGCACGTTGAGTTGTGTAATAGTGATTTTTCAAGGTCTATTTGATATTTTAGATAAAAAAAAAACATGTAAATCATGGTTTTACCTGGATATGAATGATTTTTTGTGGTCGGAATCGGTCAAAGAAATGTTTTTTTTTTTATGGTGAATTCCTTGTTTCACTTTTCAATGTTGACATCCTTTTCTTTTTAATAACTGAACAGGCTAAGGGCATGTGTAACCCATCTTCAGCTTAAGGTCAAGTTAAGGTTACATGAATATGGATTCAACTGAGGTTGAATTATTCACTTGCAAGTCAATGATACATTTGGGATGTTTTTCTATCTTATTTTGACCAAATTTAACCAAACTGATGGCAAATAGTGAAATAGTATTTCATTATTCCACTTTTTTAACTGTTTGAAACTAAAAAAAAAATCATATTTTAATTTTTTGTCTAAATGACAGCTAATGCCCCACCCCATTAAGGTTGTAAGTCTATGACATCTAGTATGCTGTTGCAGTAACATCAGTATATCTCAAGATTCATAAAGTACATTTTATATAAATCGAAAGATCAACAACCTTTTAAGTAGTCTTTTATAGTACAATCAGGTGAGACATACTTCTGTGTCCACAATTTACAAACAACCAAGGAATTCTTATAAACATGTAACATATTTTATCCTTGTGAAGAATTAGAAATATTCTAAATCTGATTCAGCACTGCATATATTTAACATTTATTTTAATGTTTAATGAAGTTGACAACATAAATAAGATTTTGCTGTCAGGAAGATTGAATCGACCTACATACCTAAATCATACATGATTATTGCTGTCCTTGTATTATTGATGTACAAGGTTTTACTTCACGGAACTTCTGATGTATTACATTTATTTCTTGCATGTGAATTTCATCACCTAATTACTGGTATCAAAAATAAATAAAAACTTAAGACTGAATTTATAATTTTGTGGTATTTTAGTTTTCTTTTTAATAATGTTCAGCATAGATACATTAAGTTGATGTTTAGGCAACTAATGCTTGGCAATATGTATAATTCTGAAAATATAGGCTAAATACTGGATTTTCTCTCTGAAAATATTTATTGCCATACAGTATTTTGGAAAACTTCTATTATTGAGACAAACATATATAGTAATGATTAACATTAAGTTTATCCCTTCATTGTGAAGATTTTAAAAATATCATGTAGGAGTAGATTTTTGTTATTTAAACCTATAAACCTGTGGAAATTGATCTGCCCACTTAATAAATTTCATATGTTGAATAAAATTGCAGAAAATTGAAATACATTTTAGTGCATAATTGTGTTTTCTTTTCTTTACGTTTGAAGCATTGAATTATTGATGCACATTGGATGATTAAATACATATACTAGTTTCCCAATCATACATACAAAGATTTAGGTACATATAGTTGAATAAACCACCCACATGTCTTTATTGGTAATGGTTGATCCCAAAGGAGAAACCAAATGTAGGAAATGAAGAAGTATAAAAGTTGCGACCATGCCCTTGTTGTTACTTAATTTATTGCATGTATATGCCATTTAAGGCCTAAAAAACCAACGAACAATTTGTTATGTCTGTATTAGACATTACATCAGCCACTAAATGTCAGTATCAATAAAAACCTGTTACTGGCAGCAAAGGAAAGACAAAAGCTGTTTATTATGCTTTATCTCTTATTACTGATTATTAAAGTCAAGGGACAGCTATAAATATGTTTATCATTACTATTTTGTAGGTGTTGGTGGCTACATACAATGTCAGGAATACACATCACCTGCCAAGAAAAAGGTAATGAATATTCATGCGACCTTGTTTAATAAATGATTACAAATAAGGCAAGCTTGTATTCCAGTTAAATGTTTACAATAGTACCACTCACTGGTCAATTATTGATAGACATGTATTAAAAATTTATGCAAAAAAAGAAAAGATAACAGGAATTGCTAAATGCATATTTTTAATCACAGAAAACTGTACACAACCAACAAACCCAGAAAGGAGTCACAAGACACTATAACACATTCCCATTTGCCATTCTCTTTAGTACTATGGGCTAGACAGCCTGGCTAAAAATCTTGTTGGTTTATCCAGACTTTAGAGTAACCAAACCCCAGTCTTGCTTGTCTAAACCATAGGGTTTAAAAGTAAGGCATTAAAAAACCTTCTCAATGCATCTACCAAAAAAAGATATGAATTAACTGCATTAAATAAGAGACTGGAACCAGATTTGGAGAGCAGCAAAATATGTTTAATGTCTAAATCATTTAATGTTTTACTTATATAAATATTATATCTTTGAAATATTGGCAAATTTAGATGAATGCACTTGTTTAAATTAAACTCAAAGGAATTAATTGATTTATTGTTGATTGCTTAATGTCCAGTGGCAAATACAAATCAAATGGACTACACCTGACTAAAACATCAAGTTATCGTTACATATAGATAACAAGTGAGTTGTAAGAGGCTGGAAAGTTCAGAATAGCATGACAACAATATGTTCAGTGTACTGGAGTATGTTCAATGTATAAAAAAATTTAATTTCACTTGGTTTTTTCGCCTATTCTGGGTTTTATATAGTATCTGCTTAGTTTAATTCAGATTCAGAAACATAAAATTTGTTCAAGAAAGTTAAAGTATTTAAAACTGTGTCTTTTGGTGAATAGTTAACTCATTGGAAATTATTCCACATCTCTTTGTTTATATATTGTTTCTGATAAAGATAATGAATCTGTAAACTTAAAAATTTTTTTTTTTTTATTATAAAACAGTTATACGGTAATCTTACTTTCATCTGTTTTTACACAACTGAGGATTCCTAAAGATTCCATGTCTGAAGTCCTGTATGAATTAACTTGTAAATACTAATGTTACATTACAATATCTGGCCTGTTCAGTAAACACTAATGTGACATTAGAATATCTGGCCAAGTGTTAAATAACAATATCTGGCCTGATCTGTTAACACTAATGTTACATAACAATATAAAAAGATGTGGTATGATTGCCAAGAGAAAACTCTCCACAATAGACCAAATGACACAGAAATTAACTACAGGTCACCGTACGGCCTTCAACAATGAGCAACTCCCATGCTGCATATTCAGCTATAAAAGGCCCCGAAATGACAAATGTAAAACAATTCAAAAGAGAAAACTAACGGCCTAATGTATGTATAAAATAATGAACAAAAACACAAATATGTAACATTAGTGTTTACAGATCAGGCCAGACATTGTAATGTAACATTAGTGTTCACAAACCACACCAGTTATTGTAATGTAACATTAGTGTTCACAAACCAAACCAGTTATTGTAATGTAACATTAGTGTTCACAAACCAAACCAGTTATTGTAATGTAACATTAGTGTTTACAGACCATACCAGATATTGTAATGTAACATTAGTGTTCACAAACCAAACCAATTATTGTAGTGTAACATTAGTGTTCACAAACCAAACCAGTTATTGTAATGTAACATTAGTGTTCACAAACCAAACCAGTTATTGTAATGTAACATTAGTGTTCACAAACCAAACCAGTTATTGTAATGTAACATTAGTGTTTACAGATCAGGCCAGATATTGTAATGTAACATTAGTGTTCACAAACCAAACTAGCTATTGTAATGTAACATTACTGTTTAAAGACCTGGTATGGTTTGTGAACACTAATGTTACATTACAATATCTGGCCTGGTATGTAAACACTAATGTTACATTACAATATCTAGCCTGGTCTGTATACTGAATGCAATTCTTTTTGAGTAAAAAGTAGATCATACCCTTGACTTAATTTGAATTATTTTCTATAGGAAGTGTCCTTGTCACATACCATGAATATATCTATTGTTGGTAAAGTGTAAACTTGTGCAGTCTGTGATAACCAAATGTTCCATATCAATGAGCCCAATGAAGTTATATACCTATATTACTTTAAAGGTGTTATTTTGACACAGTTCTTTTGTTCTTATGTTACTAAAGATACTGTAAGAATTTAAGTTCATAGATACTTGATGAGATAAATGATATAGAGATTATAAAGAACTCTATCTCTTGTTATTGTTTTGTAAGAGGATTATAGTGAATATAATGTCAACATTTTATATAAATATATGGCTTATATAAGTTGTCAGTGTTATTCCTGGATAGGTTAATTTTTTATCTCAAGAGTGCATGCTTATATATATATATATATATATATATATATACGTATATTTAATTTAAAAAACAAGCTAAAAATAAAATTCATACAGCTATATTATTTTCAGCCTCTTTCTCAAAATTATCTATTTTGTTTTTTAAAAATTTTAGAATGAATGTTACTGAAATGTTTATAAAAAAATGAATTTTATTGTTCATGCATAGTTCACTATTGTACACTACACAGCAAACTAAAGATTTGGCAACTTAAACCCCACCAAAATCCAGGGTGACTGTACAATTTATTAGGTGCTGAGGGAGCTATTTAGTGATTTTATCTGTACCTTAATGTTTTCTTTTTATGATTTTGAAAGAACAATTTTGCTTGATATGTAAATTTGTGACACTGACCTCTGTTGTTTTTAATTCTTTATCTTGTCTAAAGCAGATTGGAGTATAGAATATGTGTCTAGTCACTTATATCTTGTCTAAAGCCTCAAGTTGGAGTATAGAATCTATGTCTAGTCACTTATATGTTGTTTAAAGCCTCAGATTGGAGTATAGAATCTGTGTCTAGTCACTTATATGTTGAGTAGATCTTTTTAAAGATTAGTTTAGCCTTTTAAATGGTTCCCCCAGTATTATTTTTGCTTTTGAATTGGGAGTGTTAAGTATTATTTACGGACAGCATTAAAAAGAGGCATTGAAAACTTATATAATTTTGATTAATTAAAATCTAGGTCACAGCATTCTTGGGTGTATAGGGTAGGCATGTATGGCATGTAATCAAATCTTTTAAAGGTCAATATTTGACTATTAAAAAATGTCTTCAGCTTGTATAAGGTTGCTCATCTTCCAGTGAATGGGATGTCAACATGCAATCTTGTATAGATTCTGACAGTAAAACGATACATTGTTCTCGCCTAGTAGTATCGCTTGCAGACGCCATTCATAATAACTACTGTGGGTTTAAACTATTCTTTAAAACACTAATCATCCATTTAAAGTAACAAGAAATGGTAATTTAATTAGGTAACCAGTAAGCTTTATGGTAGCATTCCATATTTTTTTTAATAACTGCTCAATAATTTGTGCTAAAAAATCAATTATAAGATTAGAAAGACATTCAGGGTATAAACCTGGTTTTCTGTTTGCATGTTTGTTGCTGCCTCGTTAATAATCAACCCAAAATTAATATTTTATTCATATTCTAAAAAAAGAGATCTTTTACAGCAACCATTATATAAATTATATAAGTGGTTCTGAAGTTTAACCTAGGACTAAAGCAGGTCCTTATAACTATTTTATATACTGTGGATTCATTATTATTCGTGGGATACCAGTTTTCATCGATTTTGTTGGTATACCGGTAGGTGAACCTCGAATTCAAATGTTCAACGAAGTGCAGCTATTCTTTAGGCTTGTATGCTGTCTTTGGCAAAACCACAAAATCAAATATTCACAAAAATATGAATTTTCCTCAATCCACGAAAAATTAGTACCAACGAAAAATAAATAAATCCACAGTACTTTCAAGTATGATAAAGCTTGAAATTTAACATATTGAAATTGTAGAAGTCTTTACACAAAAAACACCCATTAAAGGTAATGAAGATTGTGTATGAAATTTTTCTAAAGATAACTGTAGAGTGGGGCGCACATATTCGCCGGGGACACAATTTCACCATTTTATGATTTTGAGGTGTAGAAACTTCAAAGGATTGCTGAAATGGAAGAAATATGCCGGTAAATTATATTTTTATAACAAATATGAATTTTTTTTAAACTTAGAAAAAAATTCGGCACTTACCGCAAAGGACCGAAAAACGGACAACGATTTTCTGCCAATTTCCTGAATGAAAAAAAAAGATTTCAAAGAAGTATTTCTTAGTAATTCATTGACTGATTGCCCTAAATTTCAGTTCTTTACTCCTTTGAAATGTCTGCTATTCATCTATAATGAAATTGATTTGATAAATATTGTTTAAAGCTGCAGATATTTGGTTTTAAATAGATGTGTAAAAAGGGCGAATATGTGTCCCCCTATGACAAAACATCAGGAAATTTCAAATAGCCTTTAATCTAACTTTTCAGATGAATTTTTTCAGAAAAACACGTTTTCAAGCTAAGAATATTTTGCTTTTGATGTTATCTTCATATAGAAATATCAGCATACTTCAAAAACTTAAAGGTCTGAACATAAACTGCAAAAAACATGGAAAATTATGGCGAAAATGAGCACCCCACTCTACCCTTGTTACTACTAGTGTGAACTTTGTCATTTGTTGTCCTTAATACAAAAACTAATCTGAAGCCACTTGGCCAAAAGGAATGAACCTGGATGTGAATAATGCCTCAGGTGTTTAGTTTCAAATAGTATTTGGTGATTTAACCAACCTACATGACCAAGTATGGTACTAAGAATAAAAATCATTTTTAAACACCAGAGTATGCAACCACGGAAGATCAAAGTTGGGAAATTTGTCCTTTGGTAGTCAAGTTTAAGATTTATGTTTGGTTGAACCTAATTGTTATATGATGGCCACAGGTACTATAAATGCTAAATTTCTAACCAAAATTACATATCAAAAAGGCTGGCTGATTTATTGAAATATATTTGTGAATTTGAATTATTTACACAGGAACTTTGCTTTACATAAAGTTTTTTTCCATACTAAAATTTTTTTAATTTTATATTCATTACCAGGAGTGAAAAAATCCTACCTTTTAAAATGTTAGGATACTGATGCTCATTACCAGTGTTGAATGACAATTCTTTCTTTTATCTTATGCTTAACTTCAAATTTCCATTAAGGGATTCCTTGATAAATTTCCTTTAAAGTACATCATAAACTAAAATGATCATGAAATATGATTGATTTTTAATCATCCTTGACTGTTTAATAAGTTAAGAGTTTTACAGACAAATTGACATACTTGTATTGGTTTCTAGAAAAAATACCAGAAATTCATCACATCAATGTCCATAACCTAATAAAAATTGGGGCAATTTATTATCTTATGTATTTAAAAGCATTTCAAATAAATGTTATTTTATGACACCAATTTCTTTTTTCGTGTCTTGAAAATGAACAAAATATAAAGTAACTTGTAATATATTCAGAAAGTCAAGGTCAGAGTACATTTATCCCATTAGCATGTTAAGTGTTATAAAATCGGTCAAGTGAAACTTTTGATATGATTTGAATACATTTTCAGTATTTGTTATTTTCTTTGGTGATGTAATGTATAATTTATAAGGTGTCAAGAAGTTACAATGAATGTCTAAACTTGTGTAGTCTCATAGTGAAAATTTGTCATAATCTGTAATGCTATGTGTTATTAACACATCATCAAAGGTTAAATATTTGTTTTTAAAGTCACAAAATCTTGTAAAAGATTCTGTATTTTTTTGTATTTTGATTGAGAAGACAGAATGACGTGTTTTGATTGAGAAGAACAAGTTAACTAAGAGATCTATAGTTCATTGATCAACTTTAATTATTTAAGTACAAGTAATCTTGTTTTGGTAAGTTATGATCCAGAGAACTTTCCTGATAAATATGCATTTCTCCTAACTGATTTCTCCTTTTCAATTGTATATTAAATTTAATCTTATTTGCATGTTTAAAAATATTTCCATGTAAGGCTATGTAACTTGTAATGGAACATATTTTATCTAACAGGTATATTTGGTGGGGAAAATCATAATGCTTTTTATCTGTAAATATATTATTTTTAGAATATGTTAACTTGTTTCAAGCACTTGAAAAATTTGAACCCCTCATTTTTCAATAAAAAAAAATGGTTTGGCATGACATTGGGCTCTTATTGTGTTGCATAAGGATTACTGTTTTATCTTACACCATCACCCTGGGAACAGTATATCTAACAATATATATGTTCCTGCATCACCTTATGCATTATCCATGTCAAATTTTGTTAATCATCTGCAACATCTTGAAAATAGTTTTGCAGAATTCAACCAAACTTGCACAAATTCTTGTACAGGAAATGAAGTATCATACCTGCTTTCTTTATTTTTGTTCAGATTGGTTTTTGGGATTTTACATAACAAAACAGGTGACACAAACCTTTCCTTGGAAGACTCACACATTTTAGAATAAGATTTTTATGTTTTATTTAAGAATTTTTGTTGTGAAATAGTGTGGACTGTAAGTTGTGTAGTGATTTTTGTAAGATTTAATGGACTTTACAAGCAGTGCAGACTTTTGATATTTATCATTCAATGGACCATATATGACTATTATGAAAAATTAAAAACCAATGAGAAAAAACTAATTATAAAGGTGTGACATTATTGAAATTCAATTCAGCATTCATTTTTGATGTTTTTATATATCAGTATAACCAGAAAAAGAGTAAAAAGTTTTATGGATAATTAGCTCTTGGAATCTAACGTTCCTTCAAAGGTTACAAGGGATTGACTGAGTGTGGCACTCTGTTCTGGTTATACATTTATATGAAATTTCAAATTTTATTGTTGATATCAGTCATTTGAATTCCCTTCTGATAAAATGAGGATATGATTTTAACTAAATATCATGTCAGCTTGAAATTAAAAGCATATTTATTTTAATTCATATTTATAACTAATATAGATGTTGGCATATGAGCTCTTGAGATTTATGAAATACTATTGTTGATATTTCTGTCTACAATCTCAAATAATGAAACCTTAGAAATATTAATTTTCATGTGTTTAAATTTGTTGGTCTTGTTTTAAATTTGATTTCATGGGGATTTACTTTCGTAGATTCAAGTTTGTGAAAGTAATATTCTTTGCAGGTTAAAATTTCAGTGAGGTCATGGATAATATCTTTTCATGAAAATACTAAATAAAAACCGCAACAAAATTTTCCACTTTTACAGAACATCAATTTAATCTTTTGGTGAGGGCTAAAGCTTTAGACATTTTTATAATTTGAAAAATCATTTCATTTTACAATAGCTAACATTTAGTTTTTTCTTGGTTTGGTCAGTTAGTGGGTTTATAGAATCATTGTAAGGTGCACTTGTCTGTCTGACAGGTTCATCTGATCTTGACCTTATTTTCTTGGTTGAATGATTGAAGTTTGCTTTCCTGTTACCGTCAATTTCCATGTTTACTTGGGTAGAATATCAAATACATGTGGTTTATTTGGGTAGAATATCAAATACATGTGGTTTATTTGGGTAGAATATCAAATACATGTGGTTTATTTAATCACTGCAAGATGTACATATCTGTCCAACAGTGGTTACCTTTTAATTGATTAAATGCAATTTAAATGACTAAAATGTGTTCATAGTATCACATATTGAACATATTTGAAATACTATAGTGCATAATTGCAGATATATAATCTTTTTTCCAGTCTCCAAAGCTATCTTCTGGTGAGGGACCATCACATAAACCCTGGTCATCACTACCAACATCAGACATTCCGCCAGGCTTACAGAGAAATGGGTCAGTTGGATCTTTTGATGATACTTTCTTTGGAGTGGTAAGTTTATAACAAACTATAGATACCAGTAATAATGTAAACTGTCTTTTTTCTGTCAGCTGTATTCTAATAGCATATTGCCTGTTAAGGCTTGACACGTACACCATTGTTTGTAACAGATGCTAGAAATATGTGGAGCAACAGAAAAACCATAGAACAAGAGTATTAATACAAGTATATAAAACTAAATGCTACATAAAAGTTCCTTTTCCTTGACAAAAATCTCTTACATGACTTGAATCTTAAAACTTTTATATGAGTTTTGTATTGAAAATTTTTCATTCTTTAAAAAAACATGCACTTAACATATTTCATTCACAAATCTTATGAGAAAGACACCTGGCAACATTTTATTTGTCAGATTACTTGGCTTTTACAACTCATAAAAATTTATCATTACTATATTAAGGCTATTTTGTATAATCATGTCCCACAAGTGACAGAAAGACAAATATCTGTAACAGGTTGTGATGTAAAACGCAAATATTTGTCTCATAACATCATTGTTTTCTGTATTCAGAGGAACCCCTGACAGATGAGTTACATATAATAAAAGGTTTTATTCTATTGGAATCTTTTTGTGAAATGGCATTTTTGTTACTTGTATTAAATATATAATGTCACAAGGAATACAGATACAATGTTTTGGCTGAAGAAGTCTTCACTTACCAAATTTTTCATCAGTGCCTAAAACAAAGTTGAGGAATACTTTTGGGACATTGCGTAGCTTCTAGATTCATGCAATTTGATTAAAGATCAACTTTTCTGTTAACAAAATAGATTTTTGACTGGTACAAATTGACAGCTTTTTTAACTGTTGAAACATTCTGATCTCAATCTTTCTAAAAACAAGCAACATAGAAGTCCTTGTTGGATGTTATGTTGGCTCCTTCTCATGGAGTGTAAATTTTAAGTTGGTTTGATATGTGTGTATTTGGAGCTGTTACAGTTATAAAAAAGTGCAAACGTCCTGCGCCTGTTTGCAGTGATGTTTCAGATTTTAATGAATGTTTACTGCAGGGATATTGATATCATAATTCGGCTAATACTGATTAGATTATCACACTAATATAAAAGTATAATTCCACCTGCAGCAACTATATAAAAAGTGGTATTTGACTCCTAGCTTATTATGGTAATATCATTTTTGTAAAGCTATTATTTTAAGGAATCATCTTTTAAACCTTTCTTATTGGCTAATGTGTCTGTTATTTTTAGATAATAATATCATTTTGCTAATTTTTAGTTTGAATCAACTACTCTGATATACACCCACCACTATTAGAGTGTAGGAGGATATGATTTCATATCTTATGTATTTGCATTCAGTATTTTCTACCATTCTTTTATACAGTATTTTGACATTATGGTTGTATTTTTATGTTACTAGTATTTGTTTTTGTAATGTAAGTGCTTTTCTGGTTAAGATTTAGATTATGTTCTTTTATATTGCACTGATTTAGATTTAATTGAGGGGGTTGATATGTCAAAAAACTATTTCAACACAAGTGTACAAGTGCTTGTCCTAAGGAACCTAGTCAGTGGTGGTTTTTGTTATATCCTATTTTTTGTCATTGAGGGGAAAATGATGTTGATCAGAGATCTTTGATTGTCTGTGTTAATTTTATTCACAACTTTTTAGAATAAGGGCAATTTAGAGTTTGACATATTAAATAGACATCTGTATATTTGTAAAGACCATCATTGTACTCTAGATTGGTTTGCTGTCTCATTGGTGTATACCTCATCTCTCATTTTATTCATAACTTATAAAAATCTCAATATGGAACTATACCATTAAATCTTCTGGCAACCCAGAATCATTTAATGTACTGTAGCAAATATATATATTGATAATTTATCCATTGATTTGAAATCTGATGATTGATAAGGTCACGGTTTGATATTTGTTTCATCCTTTGTGATGGTTGTAATAATCGTATTACATAGGCTTTACCTCTGGAATGTATTAGATGACCACTCAAATCAATAAGGTTGATTGTTTTGTACCTAGCACCATCTTATAAGATCTTTGGGCATTATCTGTTTTTGTGTTAAGAGGAATTCCTCATATAGGTCAAACTAGTCAAAGAATTCAATATTATTTTGGAAATCCTTGAAATGTTGCCTTTAACTATTCCAGTAACTTCAAAAGGTATATATTCCTGATTTCAAGGCAGACAGTTGTATTGATGGATGAAACATGATGCCTGGTATAATTCACATGTTGTCTAAAGTAGCTTGCCACAGATTACCAGGTACATCCTGGTAGATAAAGTACATCTTATCATTTTTGGCAGTAGAGAATTTGAAACCCTTCTGTAGTGATATCTGAGTAGATGTCAGGAATTAGGGAACAACTTTTTAACTCTTAGGACGTGGGGTTATAGTTTATATTTTCAAAAAAATATTCTACACGTATTTCCTAACTTTGAAGAAAAAAATATTTTGTGCTTCACACAACTAAAAAAAAAATTTATAGCTTATGCTGTACGAAAAAAAAAATCGATTATCCAAAACTCAAGAGTTATATGGTCATTGGTTTCCTTACAATATATCTTTCATCAAGTCAAGAACCAAATTCAAATACAAAATTATATATAATTGGTTTTTTTTCAGAGTATTCAGAAGATTCATGTCTAAATAAAAACTTGTGTATGAAATTGATTTTAAAAAAATCATAAACTTTTGAATGTCATAAACCTCATATATTGATTATAATGGATCAAGAAAATAGCATATATAAAGAGTCTGTTAAAGGAGTGGTTCTAATTCCATCTTTGTTGTCTCGTTCATGTGTAATCCATAAATGGCAAGTAAATTAACTTTCCGATAACATCTTCAAATTTTCCCTTGCAGGCAGACATAAAATGGTAGATTTTACATGCATGATCAACAATTGTAATATTGAACCCATGTAACCCATCAATTTGTTTTTACAAATTTTCTACCTAAACACTTAATGTGCTGAAATTTCTACAAACCTGTATTGTCATTAAATTATTTGATAGTTTAAAGGATTGGTAATAAACAGTCTTCATTCAATGAACTTTTGGACAATGTTGAACCTGTTATTACTTCTAATTGATGGTTTGCGATTAAGTATGTCTGATCGATTTTGTATATTGTGTTTTAATGGTCCGTCAAAAAATATAATTTTGGTCCTGTCACATTAATAGTTTGATTATAATAATTGGTATCAGTATTTATAGTTATTCAAAATATTAAGTATAAAAACTTTCAAGGTCAGATTAATTTTTTATTACATTTATATTGAATAAAATTGAGAATGGAAATGGGGAATGTGTCAAAGAGACAACAACCCGACCATAGAGCAGACAACAAATAAGTTACAACAAATAAGATCAAATAAGTTTGATCATATAATTAGGAGCAATTGTCTAGCTGTTCACAACAACGTGATTATGTTTCTGTGGATAGTAAGTATAATCTGATGTCTAGCTGTTCACAACAACATGATCATGTTTCTGTGGATAGTAGATATAATCTGATGTCTAGCTGTTCACAACAACATGATCATGTTTCTGTGGATAGTAAGTATTATATGAATTGTCTAGCTGTTCACAACTACATGATCATGTTTCTGTGGATAGTAAGTATTATATGAATTGTCTAGCTGTTCACAACAACGTGATCATGTTTCTGTGGATAGTAAGTATTATATGAATTGTCTAGCTGTTCACAACAACGTGATCATGTTTCTGTGGATAGTAAGTATTATATGAATTGTCTAGCTGTTCACAACAACGTGATCATGTTTCTGTGGATAGTAAGTATTACAAAAAAATGTATATGAATTGTCTAGCTGTTCACAACAACGTGATCATGTTTCTGTGGATAGTAAGTATTATATGAATTGTCTAGCTGTTCACAACAACGTGATCATGTTTCTGTGGATAGTAAGTATTATATGAATTGTCTAGCTGTTCACAACAACATGATCATGTTTCTGTGGATAGTAAGTATTATATGAATTGTCTAGCTGTCCACAACAACGTGATCATGTTTCTGTGGATAGTAGGTATAATCTGATTGTCTAGCTGTTCACAACAATTTGAAAATGTTTCTGTTGATAGTAGATATAATCTGATGTCTAGCTGTTCACAACAACATGATCATGTTTCTGTGGATAGTAGATATAATCTGATGTCTAGCTGTTCACAACAACAGGATCATGTTTCTGTGGATAGTAAGTATAATATGATTGTCTAGCTGTTCACAACTACATGATCATGTTTCTGTGGATAGTAGATATAATCTGATGTCTAGCTGTTCACAACAACATGATCAATGTTTCTGTGGATAGTAGATATACTGTAAAAGCAGAAATTTTCGTGGAGGATTTAATTTCGTTTATTTTGTGGAAAGAATATATGCACGAACTTAAAATCCCCACGAAAATTTAACATACATATAATATCACTTCCATTTAATGGAAACCACGAAAATTAAATCCCCATGAAATTTTATATAGAGACAAAACCACGAAATTTTAACCCCATGAAAATTAATGTTTCTACAGTAATCTGATGTCTAGCTGTTCACAACAACGTGATCATGTTTCTGTGGATAGTAAGTATAATATGATTGTCTGAAGAAAATGTGCTACACCAGAGAAGAGTTTATATAAAAATAAAGAGATGTGGTACGATTGCCAATGAAATAACTATCCACCAGAGTCCAAATGATCTGGGTGTAAGCAACTATAGGTCACCATACAATCTTCAACAATGTGCAAAACCCATACCTTATAGTCACCTATAAAAGGCCTTGACATGATAAAATGTGATACAACTCAATGTATGTTACCTTTTTGCTTTATAGAATCATATTTGAAACAAAATCCATGTCTTTTGGGTTTCTCTCTCATTCATATATACTGGTACCTCAAATGTCACCTTTTATACATGCTAGTATATATGTAAGACTCAGATCGACGTCCGGTCTCTAATCGACGTCCGTTCCTCAAATTGAAGTCC